TTAAAGTAATCCAGATGCATTCAGTAGAAGTACCTGATCAAGATAAAACAATGTTGTAGTTAAAAAGTAAAATCCGTTGCTAAATTAACCAGAAAAAAATACTATTTGAAGTGTATAACATTTTAAAGTCTTTATTAGTGTGAGTGTTTGCAAGTGCCTTGTGCATAATAAGGTTGTGCATTTCTGGTTGCAGTTAAGTATAATTGCAGCCCATCTCAATGAAACGAATTCCTGTTTGGCAGCTGCATCCTCAAGTAATGGTATAATTTAGTCTAAGCTGTTCTGTACTTCCGTTTTCTGAAAACAAAAGGGGCTGGTGCAAAATAAAAGTAAAGTGTAACTACATGTTCTTGAACTATTGTCTACCTTAATTTACACAGGAAGATCTGTTTTTGTAAAATTGACTAAACTGCTAGTTTCCTTCTTAACTCTTAACGAAGCTTTATAGAGTATTGTTTTCTGGAATTCAGTGTCTCTATATTAGAGAGACTGCTTAAAAAGTTAATGCCTTGTACTTGTTTTTCCTAGAGAAAAACACAGAAGCATAGTAAATCATTATTGTCTTGACTAATAGTTAATTTCATAATTTCTTTCAGTCCATTCATTAGAAATGTGCTTGCATTGTGAATAGGATGGGCAAGCTCTTGGTCAGACTTAATTTCATGATTGCAGGAAGCTGAAAAAACAAAATCTTAGGCAAGTGTGAGAGCTGAGAGAAAGGGAAGAGAGAGAGATATTAACATCTTATGTTAGGTCTAAAGGGTAAGAAACCTGTGCCTGAATTTGTGCTTTCTTAAAAATACTAGCAATACAAGAAGATATTTGAGCTTATCCATAACTCAATTTGCTTTCTGCAGATTAAGGTGACTTTCTCTTCTATTAGAGAATAGATAAAAATTCATGTCAAGTTAAATTTAGGATGTCAGTTATATTGAAGTAAGATAATTAACTGTCCAAAGAAGTGGAGCAGAGTTGAGAATTGAATGAAGGTGGTGGCTTAGGTTCCCACAGCTGTCTGGTTGCTGTACTGGAGAGTCTAAAATAGGGATGTACTTCTCTGAGGAGCTGAATTTTCTCTAAGATGTATTTTTGTTTGGTAAATACAGCCACAGAGGTTTGTGCTCTTGGAGGTTGCAACTCATTACTGTTAAGAAGAAACAAAGGGAAAACCAAAATACCCTCTCAAAACCTGGAGAAAACTGCTCATCACAGTTCACTTCTTTCAGGACGAGTTTAGCATACAATCATACGCTAAAACTACTGCGTGGTTAGTCAAACCTTCAAAATTACCCAAAATGGCAGCTAGGTTGCATACAAAATTGCTTTGTACTACACCAAATAATTGTACAGATATGATCCCAGTACAAATTACTGCCTCTTATTTTGCGAGTGTGTGTATGCTGAACAGTGTCTGTAAGTAGCAGTATAGTAGGAGAATAAATTGGATTACAAAAGCAATTTTTAAGCATGACTTGTTAAGTTGCAAGTTAAGGACAGGGCACATTGCAGTTACAGACAGGAATGGAAGATACTAACCACCGAACACTGTACAGCCTTGAATCACAAGGCCAAGAGACACTTCTGAAAACTGTTCACAAGACAAGGGAGACCCCCCCCCCAGGTGTTTTGGTACTGTCAGCAAAAAGAAAATTTGATGGAAGCTAAAGGCAGCAAGTGATGGCTGGCTGGTCCTTGTGGCTGGAGACCTAAGGTTCTCTCAAGTGACTTCAATCAAAATGTGTGAAGATTTTGTTGCACTGTCATAGTGTTTTTTTGGAGGATGATCAGTGATGGACATCTACAATGCCGGAGGGTTTCGAGGAGGGAGGAATGAGATGAGGGCACCAACGTGCAAGACAAGTGAGCTAACTGGCTCAAGCAGTAGAAAGAGGCTGAGGGAGACTAGTAGCTTACTTGAAGAGTTAAGTGCTTAATAGTTGAAGGTATAAAGAGGTTTTTTATTGTATTTTTGAGTTAGTATCTTTGTAGAGTATATAAGATTTTTACTGTGAAGACAATTTGCTGTTAAGGTAAATTTTTAATGTAGATTTAGCACTAAGATTAAAAAGAGCATCCCCACCCTACTCCCAGAAAAGAGCATCATATCTGTTTGGGGTGTTGGTCCTGGAGAATGTCCTTGGTTAGTGGCTGGTTGTTGATAGTAGCTGAGTAAGTGATATTAATGGGTGGGGGAAGTAACAGAGTTTTATACTTCTAAAGATGCCCACTTGTCAATAAATGGCTAAATTTTACAATAAAAATATTTTGAAATATTGAAACCTTGATTTTATAAGTGCTGTAAAAGACTTGGACTGTTTTACATGGTCATTTTAGAAATGCACATTCTGTTTTGTGTTTCAGTCATAACCTTAAGGCACTAAAATGGATCCACCTTCTTTTTTTTTTTTTTTTTTTTTTCTTCCAGAGGAATACAACAGTGCTTAGGGGCTGGCCTTTGTCTGTCATGCATTCCCACCATGACAGATTTAGCAAACTGCAGCTGAGAAGTTACACTAGTTTGTACTTTCTGCTGTTTGTGCTGGGGGAAAAGCTATTGTTTTCACTGGATCACTGGCATGTTGATTACTTTGATGCCAAAAAGCATACGGTTTTGCTGCTGCTTGTATTTTCAATCAAAGAATGCAGGCAAGAACAAACAGAAATCCTAAGAAAGAGCTTATTATAGAGTCTCCGCAGCAGTGCAAGGATGCAGGTCCTTGTGAAGTAGAAGTGGAGAGTCCTGTGGTGGTGCTGGTAAGAATTGTTTAAACAACCTATCTCTTACCTTTAATAATTCCAGTTCTGACTGCCAGTGGAAAACTGCTTAATCTGACGCTAATGATGCATTCTTACTTCTGAAGAAGGTGTGTTTAAGATTTAGGTTTGATTCTTTGTGTGTGTTGTCTGCCTTTTTAGTTAATTTTTGCTGTTCTGGTTTACCAAATCTTTGATTCTCTCTGAGTGTGAGTTTAGAATTTGGTTTTCATACTAGTTGCTTTTTAGTATCTATTCTGTCTAATGTAGTTGTACAGCTCTTTGAACCTAGCATGAAAACTACTTATACTTTAAAATCCTTTCTAACACCTCTATTTTTTAACTGTCCAGCATATTTTTCAATTAAAATATATTTGAACTCTCTAGAGACTGTATGTGTAACAGTTAAATTTTACTTAAATGTTCTAAGAACTGTCTAAAGCATTCAGGTGTACTTCTGTTAAAGGATCTATTTTTCAGTGCCTTCAATGCGCATTATTTAAGAATTAAAAGTTTTAAAGCAGCTTCCAGTGAGGGAAAAGGGAATATTTCTATATGTGGGGGAAGTAATCAAATAAGAACATTTTTTTTTTTATCGCTACACACATAGTTCTGTTGGAATTTTAATAGTACAGCAAGAGAACATAATAAGCAAGCTGTAATGTATCCACCAACTCTTTCCAGCTAGGACAATAAACCTTTTCAAATAACAGAGGAGGATTGTTAAACTAATAACTTATCTATCTGTAGAAAGAGGTGCTTTGGTAGTTCTTACTAAAATTCTAATTTTACTTAGTAATATCTCATACTTAATTGCTGAATTAAAGGATGACAGTCTCCTCTTTATCTGTCTGGCTGTGGCTGAAGTTAGTGGGAGCTGTGATGATCAAATTATGGTCCACCCTTATTTGAGCTTCATGCTACACATTTAAGAATTGAACTAAAATATTTTGGCTATCTGTATTTGGTAATACACACTTGTAACTTGATGGGAATTGAAAGCTTATATGTGTGTTAGTAAGACAAATTTTCTTTTCCTTTACACTGTTTTCTTTAGTTTCATTCTATTCAGAGCAGCAGTTAGTAAAACGTGGGATTTTTTGTATGGGTGTGTTCTGATTTCTGGTCCAGATTTTCATCAGTACAATATGAGCTAATCTTGTGTGTGCTTTCCTGCCTTTGGAATGTTTAACTTTATTTAGAACTGTTTTTATTCCCTCATGAATACTCAGAGAGGATATTACTGTTTCTGCAGATACTTAGAGTACTGCAGTTGATCAGCAAGCAGATGTACTTACTTGAAAAAAAAAGTATAAAACATTACTGTGTTTTCTTATAACTGTTTATGAACTACATTGTTATAATTTTCCAGGTACTACTTAATTTAATGTTCATAGATTAATATACCTGCAGAGTTTGCCCTCTCTTTTTGCATTTTCAGATGAAGGGGGTGCTTTCAAAACAAAGGTCAATATTTCAAGGGAAGAACATTTAGTTTCCACACAGGTCACGTAAAAATGTCTTTGCTGTCATTTCAGTTGCTATTTTGGTCTTAATCTGTTACATATATAGACAAGCATATATATGGCATATAATTATAGATGGTATAATATCCCTTTTTTGCTTCTGCTTTTGTCTAGTTTATTGAAGAAAACTAGATGAAATGTGCAAGGACACTTTGCACTAAGTGTACTGCTAGGCACAAAGCAAAAAGTAGGGCGCTATGTTTCATTTAACACCAACATTTGGGCCCATTTTTATTTCTCTGGGTTGTGATGTTGCAGTAGATTTTTACTGCCACAGCGAAAGTAGGTGTTTTCTCACTGGTATAGGGTGCAGTAAGGCAATAAGTAAGACTGATAACATTACTGGTGGGTAACAAAATGTAAATGGCAGATCTTCTTTGCTGGATTAGAAGCCTTAGAATCGTATTAAATAGCAATCCTCAAAAGTGTTTGGAACAGAAGGCTTCTGGTTTACTCTAGTAATACTTCTCATCAACTATTGCCTGAAACATTTTTTCAAGTGTGGATGTATTCCTTTTGTATAGGGAATATGATGTAATTTACCTAGTACTCGAGTTTTTTGAGTATTCGTTATAAAAATGAGACAGAATCGGTTGTCAGGACTTCAAGGAAGCAACAAGTTTTTTGTGGTGTTCATTTAATTCTTTTAAATGGGGTTCACAGAGAGTCTGCTAGATCGATTATTGAGGGAACTGAGTATTTATAAGTTTAAGCACCCCATGTGATATTGAAACAATGTTATTTAATTGAGTGCTGTGCCCAAATTACCTTTTCCTGGATAGGTGGGTGGGTTCACAAAAGGAGTCATCTGCTGTTTTCAATGCCAATATGTTAGTACGTGTGCTCTTTTGTTTTCCTGTGATTTGAAGTAGATCGTGTCATAATTTTGCTTTTGAGGTTAACGACCATGGAAAAAGCATTTAGATTTTCCGGGTGGTGCCTCAAAACCTCGTTTGGGATGAACTGTTATTATGCTAGCTGTTGTAGAAGTTACCAAATTGGTACACATGCTGCCCAATTGCATTTTGATAGTCAGAAGTAGTAACTGCTTATCAAATCAGATAGTGTTTCTGGGAAGTTGGAACTTGTGGAGGCCATCTTTCAGCTTGGAAACACACTGGCAGTATGAAATATACAACACCTGAGCTCTTCTTTCCAGCAGAGCTTTGCCCGAGTCTGATTCTAGTGTTTCTGTGCTGATAAGAGTACTTTATAGAACACAGCATGCTTACTTTGCGTCTGAAGGCAAAGCAAGTCACAGAGGAAGCTGGGAATTAAACAACTGGAATTGCATCCACGTTAACAATCTGAGGTAAATACTGGCAATACAGAAGGTCTTATCAAAATGTTTGAGCTCTGAAAAGTGTTCTTGTGTTTAAATGGACCTTGACCATCAACGGCTTCTTATAAACAAAAGCACAATGCTTTGTAATTTAGACTGTATTTTAGAACCCCCCATTCTCTTCTGTTACAGCCTCCTGAAGACTTGGCTGAACAACAGAACAAGAGTTTTCAGGCTTTCAGGTTAAACTGGAAGGAAAAAAGAAGTTAATTATTCTTTTTAAAGAATAACTGTCTACTCTTTATATGGCCCAGTCTGTGTCTGTAGCCCCAGTAGGCACTTCTGATCTGTTTATGTAAGCGTGAGAACAGATGACAATGCATTTCATTCTTTGAGTCCTAGAGACTTAAAAGTTTTGAATTTGTCAATGAAAGCATATTGTTGCTTAAATATATGCATAGTGGTAGTTTTTCCACATAAACCCTATAGCAGCTTATTCCCTCCTACTGCACCTAAGTTTACACCACAAAGTTAACCATACCTAAGAAAGGGGATAACGAGTAATGTAATATTTAAGAATAAGCTCTAGGATAAAAATCATTCAAAAAATGATATATAAGTTGATTAAAAAAATAACCCAACCTGGGCAATTTATTTTGAGTTTATTGTGGTTGTGGGACAATAAGATACAAGGAGCTGTTACCCATGTTTAGTATTAAATAATCTTATTATATGTCTGAAGTGGCTTCTGTCAAGCCAATGTTGAGAAATATGTAAACCATACATTCATCAACTTGTATGCTGTGTTGCCTGTTAGTGGTTGTAGCTCCATTCTACTCTTTATGGGGACTTGTTAATTTGCAGATATATGTGCTAAATATGTTTTTAAAAGGTAAATGATGTTTTGTAGTATGAGGCTAGCAATACTCAGCGTCCTTAACCTGACCGTCCTTTGTTTTGAGAGAAGATGAGCGGAATTGCAGAATGGTCAGGGTTGGAAGGGACCTCTGGAGATCATCTAGTCCAACCCCCCTGCCAGAGCAGGGTCACCTACAGCAGGTTGCACAGGACAGCGTCCAGGCGGGTTTGGAATGTCTCCCGAGTGGGAGACTCCACCACCTCTCTGGGCAACCTGTTTCAGTGCTCCACCCTCAAAGTAAGGAAACCCCTCGTCATGTTTGGATGGAACTTTCTATATTCAAGTTTGGGCCCGTTACCTCTTTTTCTATCACTGGGCACCACTGAAAAAAGACTGTTCCCATTCCCCTGACTCCCTCCCTTTAAATATTTGTAAGCATTGATAAGATTCCCCCCTCAGTCTTCTCTTCTCCAGACTAAAGAGACCCAAGTCCCTCAGCCTTTCCTTGTAAGAAAGACACTCCAATCCCCTAATCATCTTCGTAGCCCTTTGCTGGACCCTCTCTAACAGTTCCCTCTCCTTCTTGAACCAGGGAGCCCAGAACTGGACACAGTACTCCAGATGCGGCCTCACCAGGGCAGAGGGGGAGGATGACCTCCCTCGACCTGCTGGGCCACACTCTTGTTGATGCACCCCAGGATGCTGTTGGCCTTCTTGGCCACCAGGGCACATTGCTGGCTCATGGTCATCATGTTGTCCACCAGGACTCCCAAGATGATAATGTTTGTCTCAATTTAAACATACCAAATAAAAAAAAAAAAAAGTAGTCTATTATTTTTTTACTGTAATATATATTGTGGGCAATCATTGAACTCCGAACTTAATATTCTTTTCATCTGATGGCTTTTGACACTGCTTGTCCGTATATATAAACCATATTCTGGCATATTGAAATCGTTACCATGCGTGGTCATGACTGCTGTTTTGAAATGCTTCTTATTTCTGATAAGATTCCGTACCTATAGTACACTGGCAAAAATCAAAGTAGTATGGCAGATACTTTGCTGTTTTATCTTCCTACATATAGGGCATTGGCTAGCTTGAGTGCTGGACCCCATGAAGCCCTGTGCTCTTAGCATTTTCTTAGATTACAGAAATGAAAATGTTGTTTATTAAATTAATAGGAAAAGTTAAGCCTTGTTTGAAAGACTGACTTTTAGTGCCTGTAAACTTGATTTTGCAGTTTTGACTGGACTGAGTTTTACCTGTATCAGCTGGTCCATAAATCATATTCAACAATACCATATCTACCCAGCATCTTTTATATTACATGAAATAATAGACCGGAAAAATATTTTTTTCTGAAGAAGAGCTTGAGAAAGAATTTGCTTCCTTGTGGTGTAAGTTTGGCTAAATGCCAATGTCAGTGTTCTGTTTATTGTTTTCTTTTTTTCATATCTGTTTCAAACTGATAAAACATCCTCTTCCTTTTGAATCTGACAAATGACTAAGAAAGAAATGAGTAACACTTTGGAGAAACTTGAGGAAGCAAATTCTTCATGAGTTTTTAGAGAAATGATATTTGTGCAGATCGGATCCTGTACTGATTAAATAGGAAGATGTTGTGGTTTTCTGGTACCACTAACTATCTCTGTGTCCCATTGACTTAAAGGAGCAGTGTATGTTTAGAACCTCAGCTCCAGAGAGCTTTAGATTCTTTAAAAGCTTCTAATGAGGGAGAGTTTTTTTTTAATCTTTTACTTACAGCATGTAAGCAAAATGTGAGCAAAGCTTATTTTCCTTTAAGATGCTTTTTTATCAATTTTATGGTTCTGGTGGACCTGTTTTGTGACTATAGGGTAGAGACATGCATTTGCAATGAATTGGATGCTTTCTGAAGCTGCAGTATATGCATCTTTGGGCTTTAAATTAGCTGTGAAGTGATTTTGTGTGTGTGTGTACCCATGAAATAATTTTAGTTATGCTGCTTTGAAAAGTAATCCTTTTCTTCTATTTCTGCTGGTAAAATGAGAGGAGCCAGACCTAGCTTTCTTCCAGCCTTCACCTGTTGCCTTCTCAAGAGAATTAACAGGAGGATGGACCTGGACAGAAGGATGCACCAGGGAAAAAAGGATGAAAATGCTAATCGTGTGCAGCACCACATAAAAGTTAGTGGAATTGGTGCTGTGATCTGTCTGCTTGCAAGTTCAGACAGTATATTTCCTGCTATGTGAACCTTCTGACTGTATTGGCCATGTTTGTGTTTGTTCTTTCCTTTAAAAAGTTTCCCAAATTGTATTTTAAGTATATTAAAATGTGTGGCCTGAACTAATTTTTTTAAGACATTTTAAAAATTGTGAGCTGCACTGAAGCTGAGTAACAGAACTCAAAAATGCTTTTGCAACAGCTTTTAATAAGAACAGAATTTCATGTTTTGTTTAGTAATCTGAATCTCTCCTGCTTCTGAAAGGGTCCCATCAGCTCCTATCTGTTGGCATAAACGGTGATGCAGCCATCTGACCAGTATTTCAGAGAGCTCAAACTGGCTGAAAGCTTGCTGGTTGGGAGCAACCCTCTAAAGCTAGACCTTTCCTACTCTGTCTCAAAATGTGACTGTTCAGTTGCTGGTACTAGTGTGAGAAGGCTCAGGAATGTGCCACGAAAGAGAGAAGGTCCTTCTAGTGTCAGCCTTCCTTTCAGTTAAAGACAATTATGAAGCCAGATCTTTAGCTAACAGAAGTGACTGACTGTATACACAACTCAAATGGTCTTTTCCCCCTACTTATTTCTTAGGCCCAGTTTAATTTGGAGTATTTATTTTTGTTTCTCCTAAATGTCAGTCATCCTGCACCACACTCAAATCACCCTGTCACTGCAGCACATTGCATATCGTTTGTCATGACAAACTCTACAGAAGGAACGGTCATGTGGTAAAGGCCAACTTGACCAAACGGACTGACTTGGCCATGGTACTGTTGTAGTCTCTAAACCTTGTTTTAACATAAGAGTATACTGCACAAGAGCTCAAGCTCAGTGATTGACAGGTGAGCATCTTGCCTGCCGGGATAGGTAGAGAGAGACCTGTTACTTACATTGAAAGTGGGAGAAAGGTGAGCAAAGAGTGTCTTGCTTTCTGAATAATAAGTGTTTTCTTGTACTTGATTCAAAGAGCAGTACAGTTTGAGGGGCTCTTCGCACTCTATGTTATCCCTGTCTCATGTGCTTAAGGAAGCAAATTTATACTGGACAGTTATTGCCTTGGTGAAGAGTTGGAGAGGTTAGGTGAGGTTACTGGAATTTCTTTGGGATCAGAACTTCTTGTGACAATCTGGCACACTCGGACTGTTCAACCTGAAATTTTGTGAAGGGGTAATTTGGTATAGCCTGCAGGTAGGAAATGTGTCAAATAGTTGGGTGAAGAAGGTTCATCTGGCCTTCTGAGTACTAAGGAAGCTTGGAGCACACCATTTCAGTAGTTTGGGATTCATTGCAGCAGTCTGAATATTCAAAGTCAGATTTAACAGAAAGTTTTCTTGCAATCAAAATATTTTGTGCAAGTAGTACGTTAGAGAAAATGTCACCTTTTCTTACGCTGTGTTTATGTGCTTCTCTTATACTTTTCTGAGCTAAGTCAAAATGGTCCAACCACTTCAGCACAGATGTGTGCCTGAACATAAGCTCAAGCCTTTTCTCATGGACACCGGTGTCAGTTCTTGGCTTTGTGATAACTCATGTTCATGAATGCAAGGAAAAGGTGTAGCAGCAGCTGTGGTTCAGGTGCTAAGCTCTCCAAATGTGTTGGGGTACAATATACTGCGGACTGAACAGCTGCTCTCCATCTCTGAGGAGAAAGATGGCAAGCTCAACATAATAATTTCCCACTGTCTCTCCTAGCTGTGTTGGTCTGTACTGAGCATGTTGTTATATAGCTTATGAACTTTTAGTAAATCCTTCCAGTGTGATTGTAAATTGTAGCTGTTTTAATTGACAAAGCTACATTTCATTAATCATTTTTTTTTTTGTGGATTTATTTTCCGGATTTTGCTTTTTTGGCCTTTTCAGCTGTTACGCTCTGCTATGTTCTTGTATTTTACTTAACAGTAAAACTACTGTGTGGTAGATATGAGGGCGTCTCAAGTAACTTTTGAGTAGTCTGTGAACTAAACCTGAAAACTTGGTAACTTTCTCTGACTAAAGTTTTCCTAATTCCTTGAAAAACAAATTTATTTGATTCACTTTTGGATGAACTGGTATGGTTTCTCAGGGATATTATTAATATACTAATGATTATATATTATTAATATACTAATGATATTAATATACTAATGATTAATAGCAGTTACTGCTAGACATAAAGGTATTTCTTCTGTGTAGTACAGCTGGAATTTGAAAGGTTATTGACATAAGTTATGCAAAAATATATATAAATCTCATCTTGTCTGATTAGCTGTAATGATGATATAAGCTGGCCTTGCTGCTTATGTTTAATGTTTATGTTTAATATACCTTATTTTGAAATTAGTACCACTGATCTTAAGAAAGTATCAATTGGAAAGTCTCTCCTAATTGCCACTTGGAAAAAAAAAGGTAATTTTATGTCTGATACTGTGATGCACAATTTTAGTTGTAGAAAGTGCAAGCTCGATTGTAGCTCCAGCTTTGCATTAGTTTGTACACTCCAAGGTAGTGCTGCCTCATTGAGAGCTCTCTCTAAACCTGCTTTGCCATCTGACCACTTGACAGAAGGATTGGCACGGTGAAGGTTTTTCTCTGTCTGATTGTGCACAGCCAGCTGTAATGCCTTAACAGCAGTAGGGGGTTTAAATGTTGAATCAATGCATAGTAACTGAAGAAAGCTACTCATGCAATTAAGAGGAAGGAGGTGGCCTATGGGGATTTTGAAAAAACTATAGAGAAGGAGGAATGTCAATGCGCCTACGCCTACTGCAGGTTACTACTGAATTAAAACAAAGCTTTTAAAGTTTTAATCCCTGCTAAATCCAGATCAGAACTTTCTGGGCAGTATCAAGCAAAGGTAACCACCAACATAAGAGACTAGTCATTTCTTGATAATCTTTTTTTGCAGTGAGAATATGTATGTGATTATGCTGATAAGCTCTGACTTGCGTGTTTTGTGAAATATTTGTTTCTTCCTTCTGAGGCAAATAGCATGCTTGTCTCTGTAATTGTCAGGTGTGTTTGTCCATATGGTATAGTGTGACATAAAGTCTGCATTTTGAATACTGTGAGTTTTTGATGTAGATGAAATCTCATTCTGCCAATTTTTTATGGAGTAACTTCTTAAAATGAGTCAACAATTGTAATTTTTCCTCAATATACCTGATTTTTTTTCCTTTTTTTGTTTTGTTTTGTTTTTTTTTAGGCAAAACCAAAGCTCATAGAACCAATAGACTACGAAAATGTCATCGTTCAGAGGAAAACACAGATTTTGAATGATGCTTTACGTGAGATGCTACTGTTCCCTTATGATGACTTTCAGGTAATTTAATCCTCCTCCTCCTTTTTTTTTTTTTTTTAAAGACAGATTTTTAGCTGTAGTAGTCATGAGATGATAACTTCCCATTTCTTTGGTTTTTTAACTCTCTTTAGCTACAAAAAAAGATTAAGATCTTTGCCATGAGTCCCTTTACACGACTCAATTTATTCTGCCAGCTTACAGGAAAAGAAATAGTACAGTTTCTTCATCCATTCAGATTATAAGGTCTACTTCTGCACCTCAGCAATTTTACTGCCTTTTGAAGTAGGTGATCAGTCATTTTTAGATATTCCCATCCTTTCTGATGTAGGAAATAATGATTATTTTTTTTTTTAAATCTGCTTTCTGTCATATTTTAATTATTTAATTGATTGGGGCTTTTCTTGTTTGTTCTCGCCCCCCCCCTCCAGTGAAGGGCATGAACCTGTTCAAATGAAAATTGTTACTCTCAGCTGCATGTTACCAGCCAAAATTGGGTTTGGACAAAATACCCCCTGCATAACAGGGATCTGACTTGATTAAGCCAGACTTTACCAAGATTTGTGATCATCTTGATATATTTCTGTAAAATAACTGTGTTTATTAAATAAATTGTTTATTTAAATACACTTTTAAAAATCTTGTTGTAGATCCAGTCAGGATAACCACCAAACATCTTAAGAGGTTGGAGATTGTGTAGTGAGGAAAGTCTTTCTCCCACATGCCCATAAGTGCAGTGAAAATGTCTGCCTATATTTGAAAAGTAATGCAGACATCTGAGCTGTTTGTAAATTAACTACTTCAGAGGACTGTGTCATAGATGAATACCTTAGAATTGTTCTGCAAAAACCTCCCTGAAAAGCTGAGCACTTTATTCAGCCAAGTAGTTGAAGCTAAGTTTATGTTTATCGTGGGGAAAGTTTGTGATGAGTTGGTGTATTTCTGCAGAAGGGCATATAAAGTCCCGTAAATTACACATGTTGAGTTTTTCATGAGTTCTCTCTAGTCCATTAAAGTATTTACATGAGTGCACATGGACTCTCATTTTAATATAGTGTATGTTCTTCATTATCAGGGATTCTTACATGAAGAACTCTACTTGTAGCCTTCCCACTCTGAGCTAAAAATTTTGGTTTTAGCAAGCTACAGGTATTTAGAGATTAGTTTGGGCTTCGTATGTTCTCAGCCATATGTGAAAGTTTTGAAGGACTGCAAGTAGGTCTTCTTACAAAAGGAAGTCATACTGCCTATGAACATTATCTGATGGTACTAGTGTTCAAGTGCTAGACCACTGGTAATGATGCCCTACACCAGGTATTGGCTTTGGGACTCAAAAGTGTGTGTGGGCTACATCAGCTGGATCCATTTCTACAGTGTGGCTTTTCAGTATCGCAGATCAAGAGGAATCAAGGATACTTCTGCTAAGCGCACTCTTATCTCATTGTCTAGTTCAATTACCAGCGGTCATTCCGGTGAACAGCTCTGAATTATCAATGGAGAAGAAACAAACCTCTCAGGAATATTCTCAGGCATTTTGTTTGAGCAGTCTGGGGGATATCTGAAGTGTTTAACTGCTGTTTCAATTGCCTCTTCTGCAATTCTTAACTGCAGGCCTATATGACTGAAGATAATGCGTAGTTCTCAGTATGCTTCTTTAAAGGGAATGACAATTTTGTTCACAAACTGTAATGTCTTTTGTCATCCTTTGTTTGGATTCTGTGGTCAGATTTTCATCAAGGCGGGTATTAAAGTGTGTGTTACATCAGAGGATTTCCTTCAGGTAGTCACAAGTTTGGAATATAGTCAGATTTCCTGTTTCTTTATCCTTCAGCAGTGTAATATCTGAACACGTTTTCTGGGTTTCCCCTATACAGTCTTTGGCAGTCTCATTTTAGACTTGATTTATAAGAAGAGACTGGTTTTTACTATCAAACTTTATTATTATGCTATCAAACTTTTATTTCCTTCTAGGATTTGCTGGCACAAACTTACTCCAAATATTTTTATTGTACACATAACTCTGCAATGCTACTTTGATCTGTCTAGCTTGATTTCAGCAGCACAATGCATTTAAATTCATCATTCAATGTATTAAGAAAATATTACTGAGTCAGAGAACAGAGATCCCTTATATGCATTTTTTTTTTGCAGGTTAAACCTTTTAACCTGTGCAGTTTCCCGTAATCTAATATTTACAGTTTTGAAACCATTAATCTTGATATGGTTGCCAATATCATTTGAATAGTGGCATATTTTCTGTATTTGCCATTCTATTTCACGTACATTTTTTTAAATTCCTTTTTTCTAACTTCCTGTTGTAACACGGTGTGTGGGCAGCTCTTGGGTAAGCCTTGGTTCAAATGTTTGATACTACCCTCATCCCCCACAAGATGAATTTAAAATAGTGAGCTAGAGTATTTAGAACTACCTGTATACACACTTAGAACAGTTAATAGGTGGAGACTCCTACCATTGTCTAAAAACCTGTTCAAGCCATTTCCTTGTAGAGCATTTAGTTTTTATTTTTACAAAGTTCTTCCTTGTGCTTACAATCTTGTGATTACAATCTAAAAAACACTTGCCTAAAAAGGAAGCCAAGCCCTGATAATTTATAAAGACATTAAAAGTAAGGTTATTTTGTTACCAGCTTGGCCTTAAAACTAGCACTTAACACAGAAAGTACTTACTTTTCAGCACTAGATATCATTTCTACAATTTTTAGTAGATTACAGAAGAAGTTACGTAGTTTCAAAGAGGCAAATTGATAACACTATTGAATTTGTGCTAAAGTTGAAGTTATTTTGGGAGAAATTGGAGTCAAACGTTTGTGCATAATTTGGATAACTTTTTTTCAGGTAATGCAGTTAATTAAATAACATTTCAGTTATCTAAGTGTGGTTTTTTTCCTATAACTAATAACAACACTTGCAGGAATTCAAAGGCAAGACTTTTGTAACAAATGTTATAATGTCTTGTTCTGTAGTCACAGTCAGTGCCACATTCGGTTTGTAAAACTTACCACCTCAGAGAAGCTAAGTATTAAAGGAGAACTGATGTGAATTGTTAGTCTATATTGGAAAAGAAAGCTTGCACAGCAACTGGTTTCTTTGGATGACATACAGTTTGGTTTTCTTTCTTTTTCCCAATGGAAGTTATTTGCCTAGTGTGGGAAAGGGGAAAAAAAACCCATAAACAGTAAGTCACCTTCTTCTGTTCACCTGTGACTGTTCTCCAAACATGCTGTCAGAAGCAGCTCAAAGAAATATTGGAGCAAGGATGCAGCAGAAAATGCTATGCTCTGGGAAAACTCATCAAGATTGAAGGATTATTCTTCAGCCAACTGATCTAGCTACATGAACCTTTGCAGACTCTCATTTAAATCCATTTGCCATTGTCCTAAACTTGGTTAGCTGAGGTTATGAATCCTGGTTTCTCTCCTTTTATGTATGCTTGGTAACAGCTTATTTACTTTCAGAAAAGTATGATTTTTGTCCTGCTTCATGCTAATTTTCAAATCCAAATAAGTAGGCTTATATTTTTTTTTCTTTATTTTGAGCTTCTACATTTTCCTTGCTGCCATCATATCCAAGTAACAGCACAATTTGCTTTTCTCTAGTTTCCAGAAGAGCTCTTTATCAGCAACTTTCTCTTCTCGTATCGGGTCATTTTTTAATTTGCCATTTCAAGATTGTTTCAGTTGCATTTCACAGGCTCAAGTTCTGAGTTTTCTGCGCTGAATTCACTAATCGGGTTATTCCCTAACTTGTTCTCATCAAATTTATAGGGGCAGTTGTGTCTGGAGATCCTTTTTACTGTTAACAGTAAAAAGCAGTAAAGTTTGCTTTCATTCTTAGTAATTGGGATGTCTAATCTTTCAGTACCTTCACGCTTTGCAGTCTGTTCGTTTCTAGCTGCTTTCTTGTCATTGTTTTGTTTTTATTATGGTCCCCATATAATGTGTTTGTTTAATTAAGATAATAGAACCACTTTCCCGCCACCCATTGGAACATCTCCTATTAATGTTCTTGCTACTCTCAATTACAATACTGTCAGTGATTCAAGGTTATGCCTCTTCTAGACTCTTGCTGAGAAGAAAGAGTCTTCTCTTGCATAACCTTGAATGACTGTATCCATTGGGTACTCTTGTATCCTCTTTTGTGCCTCTTCATGGCTTGTAAGTCTTCCAAGTCTCCTGAATTTCAGTAATTTACTCAATAATGAAATGGCTTGATAAATGAATAACATTAGTTTAAACCAGACCACCTTCGTGGATCCCATTAAAATCATATGCTCAATGACTGTGAAATTGGTGATTGGTCACGTTAACTACATAGCAGGTAAATTGTTAAAAGAAACCTTAACCTGAAACTATACTAGTGATTGCTTTGCCGTAAGACACCTTGTATCTAAATGCTTTTGTTTCAAAATTCCTAACTTCTGAGTACTATCTCCATTCGTATAGGAAACATTTTTCCCAATACAGGATAAGTTTACTTGTAACAAATACAATATGGATACATTCCTACCTTAAATGAAAGATGCCATTACAAAGTTATCCCACTGTTATTTTGAAGGCATTTTAGTGCCTAGCTTAGACGTTGTTTCACCGTTGTTTCACCTTTGTTACTTTTGGTTTGGAGCCATATGGATTTAGCACACTTTCACTTAAAGCTCTTAGCTTTTCGTTAACGCGAGTTAAGTACCTCTGAAAGTAGGTATTATGACAACTTTGCAGAAATAAAAGCAAAACCAGGTCATTTTACAAGGGCACATCTTGAGTAGAAGGAACACCCCCCCCCCCCCAAAAAAAGTTCAATTTGAGACAGGCAAGGGAAACGAGGAGGTGGTGTTGCCTTATATGTTAACGAGCAGCTGTAGTGCATGGAGCTCAGGCTAGGGATGGATAAAGAGCCAACGGAGAGCCTATGGGTCAGGATTAAAGGGAAATCAGGAGCAGGGGACATTACAGTGGGGGTCTGCTACAGGCCACCCGACCAAGAAGACCGAGTGGATGAAGCCCTCTATGGACAGATAGGGGCAGCATCACGTTCACAGACCCTGGTCCTCATGGGTGACTTCAATCACCCTGACATCTGTTGGAAGGGTAACACAGCCAGGCATAGGCAATCCAGGAGGTTCTTGGATTGCATTGACGACAACTTCCTTCTCCAAGTGGTTGAGGAGCCAAGGAGGAGAGGAGCTATGCTGGACCTTGTTCTTATCAACAAGGAGGGTCTGGTAGACAGTGTCAAACTCGAGGATAGCCTGGGCTGTGGTGACCATGAAATGGTCGAGTGTGAAATCCTAGAGGCAGCGAGGAAGGTGCACAGCAGGCTGACCACCCTGGACTTTGGGAGAGCTGACTTTGGCCTCTTGAAGAAGCTGCTTGGTATGGTGCTGTGGGATGAAGTGCTGGAGGGAAGAAGGGCCCAAGAAAGTTGGTTAATATTCAAGGACCACCTCCTCCAAGCTCAGGAGCGATGCATCCCTACAAAGAGGAAGGCAGGCAGAAAAGCCAGGAGGC